GTGTATGTTGCCTGTTTGCTTACGTTAAGTGTCATTAAGCTTTTGTCAACTCATCAGCGTCGTTTGTTGTTGCGAAAAGTTAAGCATATCAAAAACATAAATTAAACAACTAAGATGGCAATTAATACTCTTAAATGCTCGACATCAGAATACCCTGTATATAATACTGACTTAACTAAAAGTTTGAAGTTCCTGCATAAAATATTAATATTAAAAAAAAACTAGTCAACTGTGATCGATCTTACGATACCCTTTAGACAATTCAAAATGTCCAATGCCGGGCCTCGAGACCTTATCTCGATTCAAGTATCTTATTTAAAAAAAAAATTATTTTATTTAAAACATAAAACTCAAACTATCAAGGCAATAACTAGGAGGCTGTGATCGGTTTGTCAATACTCTACACTTTTCAAATTGAACTTAGAATTATTAATAATTTTTTTTGCTAATTTCTAAGCCAACCAAGCATTTTGTTGGATTGGAGTGCATGTCATATTTATGAATTTCAATTATTTATAGATTAATCATTTTGCCTAGCCTGTCGATAAATCAAATAATGAGTCGAAGCGTTAAGCAGCAGGTTTCTTCAGTATATTCTTCTTGCACTGCTGTGCATCTACTTGTCGTATACATATATCTATATGTATGTTATAACCCACCGCTTTGGCTTCACATCGTAGGAATTATGTTAAAACCTTTTGCTAAGCAGCTGATTGGATAAAAGTCCATTCTTCTCTTAACCGAGTAAAGCCGCAAATGAGCATCGAACATATCAAACAAAGTTGACCACAGTAAAATTGCTGTAAACAATATGAAAACTCAGCAAAACAATTCTAAAAGCTGACTGTAAGCTTCAGAAAAAACCGCAAATCATTGGCTCAACCCATTCTGTGTTTCGGTCAAGAGGGGCTACATACAAATTATTATCACACATACGCCATGTGGGATTTGTGTGGGTCAAGCAAAAAGTTGTTGCTTGTTTGCATTTTATTAAAAGTTGAAATTCGACATGTGGCATAATTGCTTCATGGGAAGTTGTTGAAATAAAAGAATTGTAAACTTTTTCTAGTCGAAATGTAAAAAATGTGTGAATATTAAAATACTTGCAATCTAATTTAATTTAAGAACATTTAAATGTAGAATTAAATTTAAAGTTTTTTTGGATGAATGGAAACCATTTTTACTCCATTTACATTCTGAATTTCTTTTTATTACATTTATATAATAATACATATAAAATAATTAAAAATAAAAGGGCTTAACCCGCAATTTAAATGAACGCCTCTCTTTGCGATTCTCATGATAAACAATTAACTGTATTACGTTTAATTAAAAAAAAATCCCCCAGCTTTGTACTCATAATTTATCCACTTACTGATCATAATTGGCCACAAATTGTGACCAGAAACCATCGAGTTTGGCAACCCGTTCGGCACGTATGATATCATATGGTACATCGGCTATATCAATAACCGAGGGTAGCAAAAATGCAATTTTAATTAGCCGAACGTGCGACAAACGCACGTAGAACGCATAACCGCAAGATGGTGCTGCAATTAGGCAGCTGGCGATGGGCGACTGGACCAAGCTCCACCAATTTCCACTGCTGTCAAGCCAGACAGTCAGTCAGTCAGTCTGCCAGTCAGTCAGTCAGTCAGTCAGTCAGTCTGCCAGTCAGTCAGTTCGCCAGTCAATGCAATGTGCGGCTGGTACGTGCTGCTTCAGCCAAACAAAATTATGTGGCCAACATTTGCTGGTGGCACATTTCGCGGGCAGCTGCTGCTTGGAAGGGAGTTCGGGGTAGTTTGGGGCAACAACAACTGCTGCCAACTTCGGGTTTATCCGCTGCCAGTCGTTTGTTTTGCAATGCCCAAATGACTTTATCGATTTGCCCAGTACGTTTGTACAATTTGGCGTATTGCATACATTACAAGGCGGCAGGAGCAGATCCGCAGCGTCCGCGCTGGACAAACCGACCACGCTAACGAGCCTCATTAGTGGCATGCGTGGCAATGTGGCACTGGGAAATGGGAAATGGTGAAATGGGAAATGGTGAAAAGTACAGAAATGACATTGGATGGTCATCGTTCTGTTGACATGTGAGCACAGCGAACGTGATTTCTTATTCGGATACGCCAAATGATGATTACGAAGCGTTCACACACCGAAGGGTTATTGTGCATCAGTTTTTCTCAGGCTTTTCCCCATGAGTTTCCCAGGCTATCGTAAGATGAAGCAACACGCTTGGGCCGAAGGTCCCCATAGATTATCAGTTAACTTCTTTTTTTTGTCAGCTGTGTGAATGTCACATTGTTATGGCAAAATTAACAGTTGATTAAAATCGACGATTTCTCATTTTTCATGCTGTTTCGTGTACGTAATATAACATTTTTCTGCAGAGAAAATATAGTCAAGTATGCCTCATTGTCTGTTTTTAAAAGCGTCGATCGAAGAGCTAGGGTCTTAAAACTTGGAATATATTTTCTTTACGCTTCCATACGCTTACTCCAGTTTGTTGCAAATTTAGTCGATAACTCTCACTGCTTACCTGAAATCGATAAATGATGTTTCGCCAAGCCTGTTTGAGTCCTCAGGCTTTATCGTGGACAAACGTCAAAAGCGGATTTTTTGAATAAGGCTACATCGTCACGTGGATAGTCGGGAGACTCTGGGTCGTCTCCTATGTCGTAGTTGTCCTCCCCGGATCCATGTGATCCAAAAGCCTTGCAAGTCGGGCGACAATCAGTCTTTCCCAGACCTTCGACAAGGAAGGCAGGAGACTGATCGGCCGATATGACTCAGGGAATAAATACTGAAATTAACCATAAGATCTTTCTACAGATCTCCCAGATATGAGATAGAGACCTAAGACTTGGTATGGGGAGATTAGGAATAATTTTGTATTTTCGACTACTTTCCTCCATTTTTCGCAAAACCAATCGAGAATATTTGCTACTTCTACCATCTTCTTATGCATTCTTCGCACTATCATCTCATTATAGGCAATTATATGCGTTCTGAGTCTTTTGTGCCTCGCATCTGCATAAAATTAATCAAATTGCCAAATAGGCCTGAAAGGCTCTGCCACCAAAAGCTGACCCAAGCAATGCGCCTAATTAATTGATTGAGGATGTTGTTCGCATTGTTGTTCTTGTGGCTGCGGCTTTTGGCAACGTCGTCGTCGTCGTCGTCGTCGTCATCGTCATTGCCATTGTTGTCGTCGATGGTCTCAGTTGCAAACTGTCATAATATTGACTCATTGGTCATGTAATTAATGGTGTTAAGACTCGCACGACATATTAATGCAATTCAATTGATACACAGCATCCGTTCGCTCAGACAGTTGTGTGCACTCGAATATTGATTTCAATTATAATGGAACCCAAACCAACCCAAAATCTCACCCCTTTCGCCAACTGGTACCTAGCCACGAGGCATTCACTAATTGCTGTCACTTTGGTCCGGCTTGTGCTGCGCATATTAAATAGCTCTGGTCGGGCAAAAGAAAAGCAAAGAGCGCAGCATCTGCGTGGCGCCATAGACTGGGGCTCTTTACGCTCATATATCAGTTGTACCAATCATTTCCATATCCAGATACATGCTCAAGTAGTAGTATATATCCAGATCCATGCTCAAGTAGTAGAAATATATGCTCAAGTATTTATTTTTTTTAATTTTTGCCTTAAAGTGTGCTGTGTCGTTAAGCTGTGCGAAATGAGAAGATTTTAGGTCTGCATTACGCATTTTTATCAACGATGCGAATTTAAAACAAATTGTCGCTAGTTCAATTCACAGGTTGAACCAATGCCTTCTTTTACAGTAGTCGGCATAAGTGTTTTGACGTAAAGAACTCTTCTTTATTTTTTCATTTTTATATATAAAGAAACCAAACTTAAAAATAACCAAACCAATACATTTTCATAGAAACGTAAAAAGATATAAATTTATTATTAGTTTTATGTGTAGGGCATACGCAGGTTTAGTTCGAAAATCAGATTTTCAAATATATGCACTCAGGCTTTGGCTACACATTTTCGCAATTTCAAACTATGCAATTCTATTTATAATTGTTTATGAAATGTTTTTATTTTACCCTGAAAATATATGTAATTTATTTAATAGCCATAGAGTATATTTATTCTTCCTCAGCATCAGCATCTGTCTGTCTGTCCGCCCGTATGTATGAACGCGTCCATCCTAGAGCCTATAAGAGCTAGAGTCTTAAACATAGCATCTTTTGCCCACGTAGTGTAAGTTTTTTTTTAAAATCGATAACTAACTTTCTTGCCGTGGAATCGATAAAATTCAATACCGAAATATCTCGGTTTTAAGAGCTAAGGTTGCCGTGGCTTGCATGTAGATTCTCGTATAGTATATAAATATTGAGTATATTATTCAATTATTTTGATACAACCTCCCCAACCTCCCAACCTCCCGTAAAATTACTTAACTAAAAATTCCAATTGGAACTGCAGACACAATGTTGAGGATGTTGCCTTTCTCAGTACATATAAATATGCTATAGCACAATAAGATCTACTGCAGAACTTTCATTAATGATCGAGCCACGTGGTAGACAGCACCAAGCGTTATTTAAATTCAGGTGTTTTCCCGTGAATATGTAAATGTAGCCATATGCAAGTAAAAAGTGAGTTTGTTTATTATGTTTATGTTTTTTCAAATTAAATTAAATAAATGCTTATTTACAATAGTTAATGTAATAAGTCATTTAATTTTTATTTTATTTATTTTTTTTTTATTTTATTCCATGGCGCAGAATAAGTTTGATTCGATAGATTGCCTCGTGTTGGAAAGTTCTGTGATATCTTCTAGACGGGCACTCTATTTTTAATTTAACTATTAATTTAAGTACAAGAAGTATCTTATATCTTTAAATCTCTATGGATGGCACTGGCTAAACCGCATGACCTTCATCTAAAAGACTTTTACAAACAAAATTTCAAGATTTGAACTCAGATCAATTATAAGAACTAGAGTCATTTTAGAGGGAACAACTTTGAGCTTTTATTACTTGTCATTCTGTATAAACATTAATTTTGTCTTTCTGGGAAGATCTAGAGAAACCGCTAGTAACTTGTTAAAAATGTATAATCAAAAAGTAAATTTAGTTATAGGTACTCATCGCTATCCTCATTGCTATCCTCGTCGCTGTCCTCGGTGCTCTCCTGCATCCTGCCAACCATGGTTTCGGGGCATTTCGGCTTGCTAACTGGCATATGCAGGTCATTGTCGGATGAAATAATATGTTTTTGCGATTGAAACAAACATTTGTTACGCTTTGGTGTATTTTGATCCGAAGACTTGGGCTTGGACTTTGGATTATCCCTGTTGCTGCAGTGTGGCTTCTCTTTGTCAATGTCATTTTGCATTTCATAGATCCTTAAGGGCTTTCGTTTCACAATGCTGCGTGAATTCAGCTGATTGCGCACTCTCGACTGACTGGGATTCTCGTAAGGACCCTCCTCGCCAAAGCCATCTGGATATAGTTTCTCGGGTGGTTCTTGCTCGCGATAGTAATACCTATTCGGTATTTCGGCAAATGCATCGCTATCGTACGATGTATCACCATCATCCGAGCCAGACTCGTGTGCGGATGCCTGAGAACTTGATTCAGAATCGGAGCTATGTTGATTTTTCCTCGAGATCGCTGCCGTTGCATTTATCTTGCTTTTCGCATATTTAGGACTTTGTTTTTGCTTCACAGACTCGACCATACTTTGCCGCACATTCACCTTGGCAAGTGGAGTTCTTATGTCCTTTTTTTTAAGTGGACTTGTCGGGTGGAGTTTTATTGGTTTACTTGGATTATTCTTGGGTTGAATGTCTCTTGGCGTCAGATTTTGTCGAGGCATTTTCGGTATTATGCTTGGGTTACCCTCGGGTGGAATATCCTTTATGACAGGTCTGGCTCCGGCTAATTTCTTAGTCGGGCTAGACTGTCGCTTAGTTTCGATACGCTCCGACTTATCCTTCTGCAATTTATTGTCATTCATTTTGTTGGTCTGCTTCATCAGCATTTGCAAGAGAATGGGCAGCTCCTTGTGGACAAAGTCGTCACCAAATTCGCGCTGCAGCTTCTCACGCGGCTTCTCTTGGCACTTGTCGCCCGTTTCCAGTGCGAATGTCTCCAGGGTATGCTTGTAGCCATACCAGGCGAAATAGTCGACCACCAGGTAGTTGAGCAGCTGCAGCAAGCCCCGCTGCTGCATATCGCCACCACAGAGCGGTTCGTCCCTTTTCAGATCCATTTCTCCACGCATCATTTTCAGGACCTTAACATGCAGTCCACTGCGCATCTCGTCCAGTATTCCATTTCGCTCGAAATGCAATCTAATGCTATCCTCAATAATCTGTGAATATGAGCCTTTTTCCATTTTGGAAATAAAAAATACACCAATGAAAATTTATATGGCGACCACGAATTTGATTTATTTGTATTTTACGAGCTAACAGTCTGAACTCAAATTGGTATCTGACCGTTTGGAAACCAGTTAGAGCCCATTATGTTATGAATCTTGACAAAAGGTTTACTCAGTTACTTAGATTTTCACCCCTTTATTTTTATTTTTTGGTTCTTTTAGTCTACAAAGTTTAACGGCTGAAGGCTGTAGCTCGTTAATCATGCAGATAACCTTGAGCTGGGGGCTGCATACATTAGCCATTAGCTAAACTTTTGCACATCGCCGCCAAGTTTTCGGATCTGTCTTTGAAGTCGTGTCAAAGTGCACCAAACGACTGGCTGAAGTAGTTTATTGGCCGCTTTAAGGGTTAACCCGATATTGTGAGAATTGCATGGCGAGGCCGTTTTTGAAAAAAGAGTAATGGTTTTGTGAGAATTCATGTAACAGGCAAAATAAGGCTTCTCCGATATTCTATAGCATATATATTCTTCATCAGTTGCTACGTACGAACCTAACTTTAATAACATGCGGAAAGGTTATCTATAGATGAGCAATAATTCCCACTTCGATTTAGACCTGCCAGGATATTAAAATAAAAGCTTTTTAATATGACAACATTAGATTAATATAAGTTTTATTGTTTTACTCCATAAAATGAACACAATAGTTTCCAAAAATGTTTCACAACGTTTTCTCCATACTTCTGCCCAGTTAGACTTTGTATAGACAATGTTAAAAGGTGCTTAGTCAAAAATTATTATTAATACGCTTTTAGTGGGCCTTAAAGCATGGCCGTTGGACCTCGGGCTCAATCATTCTTTTCCGTACATTAAACTTTTTTTTTGGCTTTTTGATATCGTTAAACGAAGCATTCACGTTTTTCACATTCACATTTGTTACATTCTTTGCCGCATTTTTAACTGGATTGGGTTTCACAACGGGTTCATAATTGGAATTGCAATTTTGCAATTTCTCCACATTTATTGGGATCTCCTTGTCAGGAATTTTTGTTATCAATTGGCCAATTCCAGATGAGCTCTTCACTTTAGTTGGGATTTCCTTAGATTGACGCAAGTTTTTTGCTTCCTTTTCGATTTCCTTAGCCGGCGTAATATTTATCATGGTTTTTGTTCCGAGTAACGGTTTTAATTGACTCGGACTTTTCCTGGCTGCAATATCTTTTACCACATGGTTGGGATCCTTGCTTGAAGAATCCTTAGCTGGGGTTTCCTTAGATGGAGTATCTTTTCCCTCAGGCATATTTAGGTTCGCCACTTTGCTTGGACTTTCCATATCCGAACTTTTGCTTTTCACGGCGCTTGGGATATTTTGTATTCCCTTGTTGCTAGAGTTTTCCTCAGGTGGCATATTATTTTTCTCCTCTTTGCGTGGCTGTTCTCCTTGAGCTGAAACATCTTTTACAGTACGTCGGCGTGCCTGTGAATTTTTTAATTTCTTTGGGATATTAGACGCCTTCTTTGGAATATGCTCCCATTTACTCTCGTCCAGCAACGTGTTATCATCTTTATTTATTTCCTTCAGCAGCATTTGTAGCAAGATGGGTAGATTCAAGTGGACGAATTTGCCGTTTAGTTCCCGCTGAAGTTTTTCGCGTGGTTTTGGCCGTGATTTCTCGCCCGTTTCCAGCGCAAATGTTTCGAGAGTATTCCGAAAGCCATGCCAATTAAAATAGTCGACAATCAGATAATTGAGTAGCTGCAGCATTCCACGCTGTTCCAAGTTGCTGGCACACGGCGGTTCATCCTTTTCCATTCTTGTCAGCTCCTGCAGCATCTTCATTGCCTGCACATGCAGGCCGCTGCGCATTCTATTCAGATCTTCATTTTGCTCAAAATGTAACCTTATGCTATCCTTAATTAGTTCAGAATATGAGATTTCTTCCATTAGGCTAGAAATTTGTAAAATAACTTCGAATTTTATTCTATTTAAGACTGTACGATCTGATAGTGAATGCGTTCCACACAGTTCTGAAAAATCAAAATAACCTTGTGAATGTTTTGTGATATTTGGTAAAAGGCATGCTCGGTTACAAAACTAGAGAGAGGTCGCTGGTTCAAACTCCGCAGCAATTGTCAATTTTTGTATTTGTAGATTCAATTTGGAAAATGAATGACAGTTAGGGTAAATGCGTGAGTATATCATATACATAAACTCATATTCCAAATCGGCTCGGCTTAAAGCCGACTAGAGTTGAACTTGTAAAGTTCAGTGCCTCAGCTAAAATTTAAATATTTAAAAAACTTATAATAATCAAGAGCAATATTTGGAAACGCAGCGCCCGCTTTTCAGTGCTGGAAAATGCACGTTTAGCAGTAACCTAATGAGATGCTGCGCCTAATTAAACTTTGTGCACACAACGGTTAAAGGTGCTCAACGATGGTGACTGGCACCAACGAAGTTGCCGATAATGGCCGATAGAGTGCGCTGTGCGAGCTGGATTTTGCCAGTGTTGGCATTGCCTTTACCTTTACCGTTGCCTTGTGCCTTGTATTAGTTGCAAAATTTATTGCACTTAATGGAATTTAAAAGTTTGTTTACTTGGAGCAAGTTGAAAGCCGAGGCAAATCCCGCCATTTTGCCGCCTCAATACAGAGAGAGTGTCTCTGTGTGTGTGTGACTGCTAACGACAATGCCGTTTAAATGAATTTATGCTTTAGCGATAATCATGCAAATTAATAGTTTCACAAGGACTTGAAAAAATAAAAAACAGTATTTGATATATATATATACAAAACTTTTGGACACAAGTAGAAAAAAATTAAGAAAATTAAGCAAACGAGTGAAAGAGCATTGGAAAAACTTTGTGTCTGCGTTGGCATACGGTTTTGTAGGTGCGGCTATACGAGTTTTCTCAACAATCGAGCCAAGGAAATATTTAATAACTATTTTCGTTTTTTGTGTGGAAAGTTCCCTTTGCTTTTAATTCCCTAATGGAATTGTTAAGAGCTGCAGCTGCTTGATTTATGGCTAGCTCAAAGTTTTTTAAGCAAGGATTAAAAAAGAACAAAACAATGAAAAAATGGCAGCCACATCTGCCTTTAAGTTTAATGCAACTGCTCTTTAAATATTTGTTCAACTAATTAGCAAAAGTGTTGCCAAAAAAAAGTCGAGCAATGCTCAGAAAATGCTGCGCCATTTCCGGTTTATCTCTACTTTGTAGCAAAGCCAATTAGACAAAATGGCTGCGACACATTTCCGCTGGTTGGCCCTCCACAGTGAGTCTCATGCGTTTGCTTTAAGTGCGTCCTTTATAGGAGCATATCAACAATGCTGTGAAGGTTGTAACGCACATACTTTCTACGATTGTTCCAATATATTCAATATTATATTCTAACTAGGCAGACAATATTCGATTATATTTTTTTCTAAGAAATTTTCCAAAAAGTCCTGGCAACACGCGCTCTTGTGCTCACCTATTTATTCATTTAGTTTCCTTCTGTTTTATTGATTCTTCTCGTGCCGCATTCGTTAACGTTTATGCACAAGCCCCGGAAGAGATAGATTATTTTGTACCTGATGATTCTTGTAATTTCATTCTTGGAAGTTCATTTTTTCGTTCATTTGAGGCTTTGAACTGAGATATAGCATTCTTTTTGATAACAATTTATCATCTATCGTCGAAGGAAAGTGTATTTAAGTAGTCATGCATTGCCAATAGTTTACCATTTAAGTTGCCTTTGTTGTCGCTTATTGAGCATTGTTCTTGTTGTTATTACCGACATACTTTCGTATTTGCTAATCGCATTAATTATGCGGTGCCTTCAGTTGCTGCTGGCCCTTTCGTCCTGCAGGCAAATGGCCAACAAATTAGACAAAGGCAAACTGCAGGCGTAGATGAGCAAGAGAGCAGGATATAGATAGTACAGAGGGAGACAGAGCCTATATTTCAGGCATAATTACCTCACTGGGGAATTGAATTGAACGAAGCAACAGCAATGAACAGAAGATGGCATTCTATTTCATTAATAATCAATTAGTTTTTGAAAATAATTATGAGGGATTTATTAACTAACTTTTGACAAATTTCTATTGAATTAATTACCAGCTGCACTTAATCAAATTGTGTGGCATCACGCTTGATAAGGTTTGTGTGAAATTATGTACGACATATTGCTTTGGAAACTTAGAAAATATTTATTAAGTAAATAAATACATTTTAAATGGCTGGGATTTAAAAAGGTTTTTTCTTTAAAGTCAAATTTAATAGCTCAATGCTTATAATATTTGCCTGTTAAGTTGTAAATACATTTACGACGAGATGTTAATAACAGTTGCATGTTTGTCGTGGGGCCATAACGTCAAAACACGCTGTTAATAACATTTGCATGTTTTCTTAATAGTTGTAAGTGTTTGTGCGATATTCACGAGCAATTATTGACATTTTTATGTTAATCTCAACGGCACTTTTTATATGATGAGCTGTTACTAACATAGTCTTGCTAACCGATACAAGAGAACATAGCAATGATTATAACAATTCTATGCTTTATCAAACAGCAGAGTGTATGAAGGAGGGAATTAACAGCTGTAAGAGAATGATGTGCTGCTCTTAACATTTGTAGGTTTTGTCTTGCGAGAACAACAGTTAAGTGGGATACGCTGCATTCGTAAGTGGACAGCTCTGTTAACATTTTTATTAACATTTGACATTGTTTATTTGTAGTAATTTATGCTCCTCTCTACAATAGCTAGTTTTGTTGCATTTATTTAAAGTTACCTATGTGCTTTCGAATCGTCTTAATCATGGAGTCTGCTTGCGAATTAGATGATTCTCGCAGCAGCCCAATCACCTCAGAAATGCCACCTGGTGGTCGTCCACGAAGTGACTTCGTTGCCATTGCATAGAGGACACCCGCGCAAGCGCCACGTTTTCCCTCCCAGTTCTCTGGACTGGGATCTAGTCTGTTCGAGAAACATTTTGTTAGATATATACAGAAATACAGATTCTTTTAATACTCACTTCTCAAGCATATCGAATGCTTTGGCAGCCACCCAAAATTCCTCGCATCTGTAGCACTCATTCGCGATTAGCTGAAGCAAAAGAAAAGCCTCCGCATTTGTGTCCCGTGTAATGAATACATTCCAGGCCAGCTCTGGCTGCGCGCAGTGTATGTGACACTTGGACAGGATCATGCAATAGGTGTGCTGATTCTTAATATCCATATCGCTGATCTGTATCAGCAGCTCCTCTGCCTCCTTGAAGTAGCCCGTTGCGCATTTGGCCTGGGCAAAGTTATAGTTGAACACATCATCGTTCACAAAGTAGCTGCGTATGGAGTTCATATAGACAAGCACTTCCTCAAACTGTTCGTATAGAAAAAATGCCGAGGCCATGCTCTGGCGTCCTGGTATCGTATCGCATTCCGTGGCTGAGCTGCCCACAAGATGTAGATTTTGCTGCGCCGTCTTGATGTGCTCCTTCTGCAAAAAAGAGTTTGGGGCTAAGTGGACTTTACTTTGGCTTTTAATAAACTAATATCAAGGAAAAGAATCGAAAACTAAAAGTAAGGAAGTGGTAAATACTATTTGGGAGGTCTTTCTGTAACTCTTTAGTATGGAATAGAGTGTAGAAAATGAAGTATTGAAAAGTCTGAAGATACGGAGATTCTGTATCTATACTAGATAGGAGCAAGAGCCTTACATTTTGATAAAAGAATGGTACAATATCATTTTTTGGCAAAGAGTTCCTTCATGGATACGAGTTTTCTATACACTCACCGAACCCAATTGCTGTCCCAGTGCCGCATGCACCACACCCTTGAGGATGTACTCATGCGGCGATGTCGGCTGCAGTTGCTTCATTAGGGCATGCGCCTCCTGCACATCGCCCTGCTTCAGATAGTAAATGGCCAGATTGAGTCGCGCCTCGGGCACAATATTGAGGAGACCAGGCAGCACCCTAAGAGCACCCTCACCATTGCGAAAAACCACCAAATTGTGGCGTATTAAATCCGCACCGAATGTTCCATTATCGGCGATATTTTTGATCTCTTGCTCGGCGACGCGTCCGCTGAAAAGGCGAAAACGATTGCAGGCCTTCAGATTGATGGCAATTGTGCTATCGCTATGCTGGCTGAGGTACACATCGAGCACCTCCTGGGACATGTCATAGTAGTCCAGCTTATAGAAGCACAAGGCCAGGTATACGTTGATGGCCAAATAGTCCTTGTTGTCGACCAGCACCCGCTTATACACATCGATGGCCTCCTGGTAATGGGCGCGCATGTAATGCATCGATGCCAGGCTCAGCTGCTGCTCCACGCTGGGTGTGCTGAGCAGCACATCCAATAGTTCCGCCCACTGCTGATCATCGCCCAGCTTGTGGGCGAGATGAAACAGAAGACGCTGCTTCAGTGGCGTATTCGCCGTGCCCTCCATTAACTGTTGGGCCTCCTCATAGAGGCCCAAATAAAACATGCAGACGGCCACATTGAGCGACAGTTGTGGGTCCTTGAGTGCCTGGTATTGGTTTAGAGCCTGTTGATAGTCACCCAAATGAAAATTGCAATAGGCAATCCATTGATCGATTTGCTGCTGCTGTTGCTCGTTTTTCTTAGCCGCCTCCTCGCCCTCCTCGTGCTCATCATTGGCGTACTGGCAGTGGGCAGAAATATAACCAATTGAGATACTTAGAGAAAAACTGTATTCCCATTTACCTCCAGAAAGGCTCGAGCGCCGGTATAGTCACGCCTGATGATGAAATCCTCCAATGTTGCCGGCGCTGGCGCTTTGCGCTGCTGCTGTGGCATGCCACCTCCACTGGCCACATGCCGCGAGCTGGCCGAATCCGTTTTGCCACGCGAAAGTATCTGAAGTATGTAACTCAAGTATCTCATGCATTTCTAGTATCTTTTACTATTTGCAGCTGCATTTCTTACCATTTTTTCGTGGACCGAACTTTATTGTCCTTTGCCTTCTCGAGTTTTTATTTTTCTGTTCTGTTGTCCTCGCTTGGGCGCTTGGTTACCGTTACGATTACGTTTATGGTTACTTGGCAACCAACATAGCGTCAATAAAGCAGATCCCATGCTCGACTGCACCCGGAGCCAACTGTTGCTGCCCTAACACCCCATGCAAATGCTATACTCAATTCTTGGTCTTATTTTCATTTCTTACTTGTGTGCTGTTTCTTGTTTCTTTTTTGCTTTTTTAGTTATTTTCTTGCTGAAGCGTCAAATGCGTTATGCGTGTACACTATGCGATATACTTACTTAACTCACTTAACTATGTTAGACAGTTTGCGACACAGCCAAATTGTGAACAAAATTGTTCAAATTTGAGTCTTATTTTTATAATATTATTATATTTTATATCAATTATAAATGTTCGGCATGCCCTGCATCTTTTAATGTTTTAGCAAACTTTACAGGGACAGCTGTTAATCTTAACAGATGTGCATTTATTAACATAATTTTAACATAGCTAACTACTTGAAACTATTTTTCACATGCTAATGTTAATTTCATAGCATGTAAATCTTCCAGTTTTCAACAGAACAGATACTTGTTGTCAACAGGAAAATATTTTTCTACAGCTGTTATGCTTAGTCTCAATTTCAGCTAAAAGCATTAATGCTTTGGCTGTTTGAAAGTGTATGCAATTACATAGGTACTTGGAAAATAGATTCCATTCCTCCTATTCCATTACGAGATTTCACTTGCATTCCACTTAAGGTGAGTTCAGCCATCTAGAGTAAGACTTCAGCTATGTCAGTGGAATGCATTGTTGACACATTTGCCTTATTTATAAGGCATACAAACTCATAAATATGCAGTCAGCCTGAAGAAAAATGCGTGCGTCATTCACATCTTCGCCCTGCCGCATGCAATGCTTTTAAAATTTTCACATTTTCCTTCATTCTTGGTATATATTTTTTTTCTGCTGTGTTTTATCTGCTGACATTGCAGAATGCTAAATGTATTTCACATCTGACGATAGACACCTTTGTGGCAGCTTTTTTCCATATTATTGCAAACATGTGCAAAATCGAATAAACTTCGAAGAACTTCTTTACAACTATCTGCTTTGAGGGGCTTAAACATAAAGTCCTACTAGAAATAAAGTACATTCAAGCAATAAAAGCTTGAAAAAATAAGTGAATTAGTGAATAAGTGAAGCGTGCTTGAAGGAGGATAAAATGACTCTTGGAAAAAAAGGAGCCGAAATATTTATATTATAAATGAGTTGTATTCAACTGACTAATCAACCTAGAGGATAAGCCATGCCAAAAAATTATCCCTCAATTAATTTCCTTTTGTCCAAGGTATGCGGGCTTGAAAATTGGATAATAACTGCCATCGAACAAGTAAAATTTGAATACCCTGAATCCATTAAAAATGTGTAAAAGGGTATAATGTTTTTGTGCAAATGTATGTAACAGGCAGAAGGAAGCTTCTCCGACTCCATAAGGTATATACATATATTTTGTATCAGCATCAACAGCCGAGTCGATCTAGCCATGTCCGTCCGGCCGACCGACGAGGATTTCTGAACTTATAAGAGCTAGAGACTTCAAATTTTTAACATAGGTCCTCCCAGTGCCCGGGAAGTACGAGTTTGTTTCCGATTATCGATAACTCGTCCCGTTTTCAAAAATCGATATCGAAATCCTAATATTTGAACAAATCTAGTAATTTTAAGAGCTAGATTCACCAAACTTGATATGTTGCTTCTAGAATAGTATATATATATAAAGTATCTTTCATTTGATAGCTATTACCACCTCCCCACTTCCTCTACATAACTATATATAAATCAAGTTAATAAACCAACTTGTATTGCCCACCAATGTAAGGCATAGTTTTAATGCAATTGACTTTATGAGAATATACAAATATTATATAGCACAATAAAATTTACTGTTGAAAATTTCAGCAAGATCGGTTAAGAAACATACATTTTTTTAAATTTATTTTTATTGCTGCTAAAGCAAATGAGCGCGTGAAGTGTGCTGCATTTAGTTTTGGTAGAAGAGGCTTCAGGGTATCCCCTAGTCGGGAGCTCCCGACTAGCTACTTGATTCATATACAATCTAAAATAGATTCTCATATTTACTCTCGACCGCGACATGTCAACGAGAATTGAATATAAAACTCCAGATAAAAATGAAAACAATCTGTTTGCTGCTGCCTACAACACAATAATATGATGAGCAGCAGCAACAACAACAGCCATGTTTGATATACAAATGCGGGATATTGTGGAAACAAATTTATTTTCAAGTGCTGTGCAACGGTAACGAGAACTTGAATCATTTTAGTTGCCTGCCCCACAGTGCTGGGTTTTTGTTGTTCGTATGTGTGTGTGTGTGTGTGTGTGCGTTTTGTGTATTCAGAGCGCGCCTTTGTTTATGCTACACTTTATTGCGCTTTTGCAATTTCGCGTTTCCGTTTCCTGTCAAATCAGCCATAAAAAGCAAGTCGGTGCCCCGTGACACCGCGCGCCTATTACATTTCGCAGTCGAATAAACAATGCCAACATCATTTGCACCTCCTTCATTATGGCGCTCGTTATTTGTCAAACAAATAAACAGCAGCACCAAGGGGGGCGTGTCGCACTGAAGGAGAGTAGTTTAACAGGGGGATGCTGCTGAAGATTTCTCACTGCGAAGGCATGACAGCCGACGCGCTACTCTACGTGCAATTGTCTCGCTCGGCCATGATTTTCCATCATTATCATTGTGTTCGTGTTTACATTTTTAGAGCAGCTTCCATATACCAAATCCCCAATACATGGACGTGGACGTTGATGCCGGGGGTTCGGGGGCCGGTCTTCAAGCAGGCACCTAGTGACAATTTATTGTCATCTCTTCTTTGCCCTCGCTTGATTCACGCTTGTTTTATTTCTGTTTTGTTTTGTTTTGTTTTTGTATTCGAGTATTTGCATTGCCTCTTTCCGTTCTCATCTAGCACTTGGGCAAACTTGTTTTCCTCCTGCTTAAGTTTTTCTCTTTTTTCTTCTTCTTTTTCGTTTTATTTATTTTTATTTTTTTGTAGAAGAAAAAATCACATGAAAATTGCGAACTTGCGAAATGAAGTGCAAAATTCAAACGGAAATTGAAATGGCAAGGACAGTGCTCAGTTCTTTCTAGCGCAGTCCCTCTCACGCTCCGTCTCTGTAGCCGCTTTTCGCTCACTTTGTATTTCTCCTTTTACTTAGTGCCTTTCCTGCCTCAATTCGTATCTTGGGCACATGTTCGATGCCCGCTTGCATAGTGATTTTCGCTCTGACATAAAGTTGAGGAAAATGGCGATTTTCTCAAGCGAAAACTAAACACTCGAAATGCGAAAATAAATAAGAATGGACATCTTGGCGATTTATTGTTGATCATGATGATGTTCTAACTGTTGTTGTTATTGCTTTGCCTTAACTGAAGCTCAAATGTTGCATGCCACTGAAGCATGCATAATAACTGCACAGTAAACTGCTCTACAAAAACAACTACAAGATATACAAAAACAGAAATGTTGAACATTTCTTCTAACTATTCAATAGTACTGAAACCACAATAAAGTTTTACTTTAAGTTTTGCAAATAATGTACATTACAAATAAGAAATTAGACTTTTATATATTTATTTAGATAGAAATTATAAATATTGACAGCCATTTAAATCCACACGTGTTTTTAAGCTTTAATATATACAAAGTCTGGAAATAAAAGCTTTAATATATTTATTTATTTTTTGTAGAGAATAATCGTATTTAAATTGTATAAAGCTTGGTTAACCAGATCAGATATAGTATATTGATTTTCATGCCGATTACTTTTCACAATTAGTTGGTTACTTAACTAGCTGTGAAATCACATTAAAGCTTTGCAACGAGCTTAAAGCTGAGTTATAAAGCTACAAGCCTAGAGTATTCTATTTGAAATACTTTCTATTCGTAAAACAACGTCATAAATCTTCAGAGCAGATGAGCTTTTTTCATAGTTGGTTTTTTAACTAGCTGTCAAAACATATTAAAGCTTTGCAACGAGCTTATAGCTGAGTTATAAAGCTTGAGCATTGAGTATTATATTCGCAATACTTTCCATTTGTAAAATGACGTCCAATTATTTCATAAGTACGTCTTATCAAACATTTAAAAATAAATAAATACACATAAAACTTCAAAGCAGCGCATATTCGATTCAGCACTTTCACTATTGAAAAGGCCCTTCAAAAATCAACTGATAACTGGGCACAGTAATCGGAGACCCTGTAGAGGGGGCTGGGGGCCCTAAATTTCGAACAGGCAACTGTTGTTTGCAATTAGGCGCAAATAAACTAAATTGTTTCGTGGTTTGGGTATTTTCGACTAATGCGAGCCATTTTCCAAAATTTGTTTAACAAACATACACACACACGCAGCTGTGAGAACCAATCACACACGCACACACAGAAACGCAGACACGGACACACACACACACACACACACACACACACACACACACACACACATACAAGTGCGTGGCGTGCCCTCTGTGGATGTGGCAATTGCATTATTGGCAAAATGCTTTTGGTAAATGTGTGAAATATTTTTGTTGGTTTTTGGATGCTGCGCTCTGCCCTCTAATTTGTGTATTTTGTACGATTTGGCGCATTTACATATTTTAATTAAAACACAAATTTTGCCCTTTAAGCCAGAACGAGAGCCAGAGTTCGAAATCCAAATCAAATTCAAGTGCAATTTTATCCACAGATGTCAGTTCTGACTGTGGCTTTTTCTGATTTGTGCGGTATCTGTATACCCTGCACTAATGCAAAACGAGTGTAACAAAGTTGTCAAATGTGTGTAAAAGGTATTCAAAGAGATTTGTATGCTCACAAGGCACGTGTATTCTGAGTTATTAT